CTTAGCCCTCCTCTCCGGTCACAGTGCTGGCACCATGCACTCTCACTGCAACACCACAGCCTCTGTTCTCCAGCTCAGGGACACCACAAACCAAATGAAAATGCCAAGAAAGAGGCGTGGGGGTCCAAAGCGGTCAGGAATGAACATACCTGAAGTTCTAACACAAAAGGGTGCCTCACCAAAAAGTGTACTTTCCTTCTCCTATCACAAGATGCGTTGCAGCTGCTCTGGAACACATGACTTAATATACTAAGGATTTGCAGAAAGCAAGAGAAAAAAAAATAGAAAAAGGGATGAGAACTAACTTGCAAGAGATTCAGACACTTCTGAAACAGTAAAACTTTCCATGATACAGTCTTAAAAACCTCCCACAATTAAATTTCTACAGTCAGTTGCCTACCTAAGGGCACATGTACATAAAAAAACAAATCAAAACCAGAAAGCAGATGGTAAAGCCAATTAGACTGGCATTATTAGATAAAAGCCAAATATATACAGTGGCAAAAATCTTGAACACAATATGTAATTCCACCTCAACAAGAGCACAGCACAACTGGAAAATGTTCAGAGGTAATCAAAAAGATGATTAAAGATATGGAAAGCTCCCTCCTTAGGGCCAGCTAAGATAACTAAGCTAGGGGGAAGCATAACAGCAGACATATGACACAAGTCTGAAAATCACAAATCACACGGAATGGGGGAATACAGCTTGATGTTTGCTGTGTTATACAAGAACTAGGATTTGTCCAAAGAAACTAGATGGTGGTGAGTTCAAAACAAACAAATAAAGGTAGTTTGTAACGGCATATAATTACACTGCTGAACTTCTTACCAGATGAAGCTGTGGGTGAAAGAAGTTTGCATGGCTATAGAAAGCAACTGGATAAATTCACGTAAGAAAAATCCAGCAAGGGGTATTAAATATGATAGCACTGTCTCTATGACACTCTGTAACCCCTCCTTGGATCTCCCATCACGATACCCGAAGAGGAAAGTCCCCACGCCACAGACTGAAGGGAGCAGGGAGGGCAGAACAAGCAGCCAGGAGCGCGCCTTGTCCTGTTCTTTCTTCTTGCTCCACGCCAGCTGCCGGCCACTGTCAGCAAAAGGTGGCACCTCACCCAGGTCAGCTGTACTCACAGCCTGTGTATAAACCCACCACGGGTGGGATCGCACACCAGTGATGACAATGAAGTTGACTTCTACAATCTCACCACGAAACATGGTACAGACACAAGAGACTACAAATAACTGCTTTGCAACAGCAGCTCACCACCAATATTCCTTTAACTTGCCTAAACGTGAGCAAGATAAAAAAGTACTATTCTAAATCAGTTTACTTCTGTAATTTTACTGTATAAACTTTTAAAACCAAAACCAACTAAACCATTTCTAGCTGTTTGTTCAAAACTTACAGGTAACAACTACTAACTTAACCTACTAGCAAATTAATATACTGAGCAACCCTTTAAACTAATTACTACAAGTGAGTATTAAGATTCAGGAGGAACAGTCCTTTTCTTACACTTATTCAGATGTTCCACTCGTTACATAATCTCCTGCAGAACATCCTGTGTGAGAAACAGTGACGACCTTTTCACCTCATCTTGCCTAAACTACGGTGCGGCACTGCTTACAGTACAGACACAGGACTGGTTCACTATCCATCCATGGGTTGCACCTCTCTGCACACTGCTTTGCCATTCCAATAATGAAAACATACAGTGCATCACATTCCAGTTACGTTGTACAATTTTTTTGAATACTTAAGTTGATGTCTCAAAAATGCTACAGACATTGTTGTGGCAAATTGATTACCAGAACAAAACACACCTTCAAGTTTAACAACTTTAACTCCGGTCTCCCTTGAAGTACATAAGCTAATTTCCTACTAGCCAGGCAAGGCATTTTAACAGACTGACTGGTAGACAACGTGTTATTTTTCTATTTTTTCCTCTTTGACATGCTTATAAAACAAGCTATGCAAACAAAGGAAAAAACCTGAAACTGTTACACAGGCCAACGCTTCAACTAACTGCAAAAAACTCTTGATCAGAGCGCTACACTAGAACAGAACCACAGAAAGAAAAAGAAAACAGTTTTATAACTCCATTTTAAACCTCTGTATCATGTGTTTTGGTATGAGCTTATACCAAACTCTATAAAATTACTTGCTTTTTCCTACTGCAGTATCAGTGTTGCCACTTTCAACCAAGGTTTTCACTTGCTTTGAATTAGGTTTGTTGCTTTTTTCTAGTACACCACCCTCGTCGGGGCACACAGTTCCATGAGAATACAGGCTTTTGTTCCAAAAACTGGAGAGATGTGTCTCTATTCATCTGACCACCAGAGCAAACTTTAAAAACAAACTCTGCAGGTTAAAAGTTGATTCCTATGTAAATTCCAGGGTTTGGTGGGGTTTTTTTGCTGGTTGTTGTTGTTGTTTTGTAGTGTTTGTTTTAGGGTGTTTTTTTTTCATTTGTTTGTTTTTTTAATTAAAAACCTCCTCATTTTGTAACCCGACTCATATTATTTTCACGTCTGGAAGTCTCTCTCCTAACCTCTGCTGCACAGAAATGCAAGTTAGACAGTAGGGTATTTAGCTACTTTGGAATTTCAATTTTCAGTAAGCTACTCCCTCAAAGTGATTATGTTTTAGGAATCAAAAGCTTAATACACCTATTTGCAGTTTTCAAAGATTATTAAAGCAAATAACTGCTTGTACTAATATAATTTAATTCCAACAGCACTCCTTAAAAACTTCAGCAATTAAAGAAACATAACAAACATTCAGCCACTCGGATTTCACTCTGTTCCTGAAATCAAAAGCAATTTCATACAACTATTAAGGATAGGATATTAAGAATACCATACTCAAACTGTACGTGCAAGGGAGTACAAGTCAGCCTTAATATAATTAAATGAGTTGGAATTTGGCCAGAAACTTGGGTTATGACAAATCCAAAAGCCAGTCTATCCAACAGTACAATGTGTACTTGTTTATACACTTTTCTACTGCACCATTTGATGACAGAAACAAAAAAAAAAATGTGTTTAGGCCGGTGCTTAACTTTAAACAGGAAGAGTTTCATTTAAGTCATTTAAAATAAGTCACTTCTAAACTGCCTCCCACCCTCATACAGACTGATGATCACAAAAATGAAAAGATTTTGTCAGAGCTACTCTGTGGCTGTACAGAACAGGGAACCTTATCATAACAATAATTCAAAGTAACATCTTAGAATGATACGGAGGTAGAAATTTTAATTCTGTGGTGTCACTCTTCCAATCTGTTTCTATATAACCTGGGTCATCTTACCACAAATGTCCCAAAAGCCATCAAATACTGATTTCAAAGATAGTGCAGACTAAGGTAATGATGCAAACGTGGGATAAATATAAGCCAGTCGAGAAACAAACTCAGTCAGCACCATTTTAAGTGTACTTCAGAGTTTCACAAATAAAGAACGAACCACACTGCAAAAAGTTACTGTACGGAAGTTGTTTTCTATAGCTGGACATGCACGTGTCCCACAGTAAAGGCAAGATGTGTTACATTTTGAGAAAAGCAATCTCGTACTGCCTTGCATTTTCTGTGAAATGTCTCAGAGAAGAACATGCAGTCATTTCCTTGTGAGTCAAAGGCCTTGGATGAATATCAACTGCAACATAACCAATAAGATGCCAGGCGGTAAGCAGAAGTTTTGCAAGCATAAGAATATAACTCTATTTCAAATACAAAGCAACCTCTGCAATGTCTTCTAAGGTATTTATGCCTCAAGCAAAATCTGCATTATTTTGTTTCATGGAGTTTGTCAGTCAGTTGTTCTTTACTCTTTCAGTTGAAACTCTTCCACAGTATTTCAGCCTCTCAAGCTTAAGGTACCTCACTGGACCATATCAGACATCTGTTTGTACTGCTTAAAAACCAACAGTCCCATATGAAGCAATAACAGAAATAAGTTTTTAAGAGTAACTTGTTTATTCCACTGATCACTTTGAAAATAAACATGTTTTACCAACTTAGACAACCTGCTAGCAATAGCTTCCTAGACTAGTATGTGCGTGTGTAAATTCATATTTGTTAACATACAACCTGAATGTTAAGAAAAAAACCCGCAGTATACCACTGTTTTAAACTCAAAATTACTCTTAGAAACAGCAAGCCAAATTTATTACTGTGAAGTACAGTTTGCAATGAAAGTAATCTTGAAAACATTAAATGGTTCCTTTGGTATCTGCAAAAAGGCTTTTAGAAATCCTCATTGATCAAAATGTCATTTACCAAAGATTATTTCTTATTTCAAGTATGGAAGTCATGACTATCCTCCATTTTTATAAATATGTCATTATGAACAATAATAAAAACATTGCTTTTTGCATCCACACACTAAAAAGATTGTTCTGCATAGGTTTAAAGACACTTACAAATTCCAAAATTAAGTAACAGCTGCATATTCAGTAAGAGTAAATGAATAAAGACGGCATTAGAAGTTTTCCAATACAGAAGTCAATCACCCCTACCTACTGAAAATCCTATTAATATTTTCCTTTAAAATAAAGGAAGACTACATGCTATGGCAGTGGATTCTGCACACTGGTAAAGTTCTAACTATCTGACAAAAAATGTAATTATTAGTAGTCTTCCAAAAGGTGCCATAAGTGTTACAAAATTTACAGTGGTTTCACCTCAAATACTCGCAATAAAACCAAGACATTATTCTGCACATACTAAAGTATTCCATGGGCAAAATTGCCTGTGTATTTATTTAGTGTTTCAGGCAGGTTAGAACAATTTTCTGCAGACACACACATCATTACATTTCCCTACTCAGAAGTTATAGTCCCTCAAGGAGCATGCTAAGATTAAAATATACCAAAATCAATAATCACAGTAAACCAGGAACAACTATTTACATTTTGCCAATTCCGTTATAATAAACAAAAGGCTTAAATATATCACTGTTGAGGCATCTGTCAAATTTCTGATTTATGCTTACCTGGCAAAAGTACTGGTTCCAGTTTTTTAATCCTTGGTTCTGAAGTTATATGGTCTTCAGCCTGAAGTAAAAATAAAGGAGAACATGATTAAGAATCAGAACTTTACAGTCAGACCTATTTGGGCAAAGGTGGAAGTTCTTTTAACTTAAAAAGCTGATCTTAAAGAGCTAGGATCGAATCACAGCAATAGTTTTCTGCAAAGATAATAACATTTTTGTGTATATTGAGCTTTGTACCAGAAGAATAAACTAAAAGCACTAATGTTTAAGTAATTGTGTAACCTAGGTTATAACATGTCAGAGGACAAACAACAAACAATTTGACTTGACATTCCATAAAGGCTCAAGTCCTACAACAAGCTCTACACAGATATGGACACTCGAGTTTGCACAAAACTATCAACTTTTAACATGTATGACATTCCGACATAGGAAAAATTTCCCCAAAACCAAGGCCTAGAACACATACATGCCTACTTGCATTTTAATTCCAAGCCTTAAAAATAAAAATACTTCTATAAAAAGACTGAAACCTTCAGTGAAATAACCTCAATGCCTACGGTTCCTACGCCAACAGTGGTATTGCCATTTCCAGGGACTAGGAATACCAGAACTATGTTGTACCAACTTTTTACTTTTACCAAGAAATTGTGAAAAAGTGAAAATGAGTCAACATGTCAAGTGCGTTGCTAGAAGAGGTCCTGCCTTGTCAAAACCAAACAAATAAATAAATAAACAATCACATTCTGTCAGCTGCACACCGAGACCACACAAGAAATCCTGGTGGTTCTACTAGACATACTTGATACTACAGGGGCTATATACAGTAGGCTACTATATATATTTGACAGATATACTTGATTTTTTTTTATTTATGCCATCAGCCAAGTTTTAAATGTGAAACAAAGGCTACAGTGAGAGTTTAATTATTTGCATAACAGACAAGCACCAGCTGTCTTCTCCTCAAAGTATTCCACAGCGCGGACACCGGTAACATGGAACCCGCCCAGCACAAAGAAGAAAGCGAGCCCTAACACCTGACGCGTTACTCGTAACTTTCCCAAACAATCCCACACTGGCCGGCTTGAATCAACACAAGCCTTTATTTTGGTAAAAGTTCCGCTCCTCGGCCGAGGCTGGGGCTCGCCACCAGCATGTGCTCACTTCGCGTTTGTGCGTGACTCCGAAGTCCGAGAGGCCAAGAGGCTGCGCCCCAGACCGCCGGCACGGCTTTTGATCCCCTCCGCCACGGAGGGTCTCCGGGGCCCCTCGGAAGCGCCCCCGGGGCGCGCAGGTGCCGCTTTCGCTCCCCGCGAGGCCGGTAACCCCCAGGCGAGCCGGGGAGAAGCTTCGGGCAGAGCCCCGGGCGCCCCGCGGCCCCGCTCCGGGCCGGCCCAGCACCGCACCGGGAGGGCAGCCCCGCCGGCGGCGCCTCGGCCGGGCCCGGGGCGAGAGGGGAAGAGCCGAGCAGGTCGCTAATGGAAAGAAAAGGCTGTTACCTGAGGCAGCGGCAGAAGGTAGGACTTGAACGTGGGTTTGGGCTGCTTGAGAGAAAACATTGTCGCTGCCGGCGGGGACCGAGGGAGGGAGCGGCGGGCCGGGCCCAGGAGGCCCCGTCCCTCGGGGGCAGGGTGTCGACGCCCGCCGGCTGAGGCCCGGCGCCCCGCGGCCGCTCGGGGCTGCGCGCTCCCCGTCACACGGCGGCGGCCCCGGCGGGCGGCGGCGGGGGCGGCCCCAGCGCACCCTCCTTCCCCCAGGGAGGAGTCAGCCGCCTGGGCAGGCCCGGCCCGCGGCTGCCGCAACCCCTCATGGAGCCCCCCGCGGCTCCCTCCGCCTCCCCGCGGGGGCGGCCGCCTCGCCGAGCCAGCGGCTCCCTACCGCCGGCGGCGGGCGGGTGGCGGGCGGCGGGCTGAGGCGGGCCCTGCCGGGGCAGCCATCTTGGGGGAGCGGCCTCGGTACGGCGGCCGAGGGGGCGGCGGTGGGTCCCCTAGAGCGGGCGCTCCCCGCCGCGGCCGCCACAGCGGGCACTGTTATTTCTCACCGGGCTGGCGGCGGGTTCGGGTTACCGGATCGTACCGGTTGCGGGGGAGGCCTCGCTCGGGAGCGCTCGCCGCAGCGCTGCCTCCGGGCGGGGGGCGAGAGGTCGTCTCTCCTCCCGGCCTCCGCGAGCGAAAAGCAATCACAAGCACAGGGGCCGGCGGGGAGGGGAATGTTAAAGGAGGATCGACGCAGAGGGTTTGCACAATTTGGCCCCTGAGCCGCTCGGAGACGGGTTCTGAAACCTCCGCATGGGGCCTGCAGAGGCAGGTTTTTACTGCGACCCAGGGTTGCCTCAGATCAGCATTAAAAATCCAGCTCCAGCATGAGTCAAGTACCGCTACCAAGTTTTTCCTACTGTCACCTTTTATACAAGGTGTATCACGTTACAGCCGTGGAACGTATGGGATCTATGGGTGAAGCCTCCAGGCTGCTGCCGCACTGGCACCCTCTCGCTCCATGCTGGAACCGTGCTGGCTGCTGGCGGTGGATGCACATCTAACATCCGTGTAATACCTTTTCCTTCAGCTTCCCAGGCACTCATGTATTGCTCACTTGAGCTTCTCTAGAACATGGAAATAGCACAGTTGCACACCTAAACTGCCAAAATCTAACACTAAACACCAAAATCTAACTTTTGATAACTAGGAAACTGAGCAACGACTCTCATTCGTTTAGTGCCCTTGGCAACCTTAACGGTCCATGTTGCAGGTCTTTTTGTGAGCACTGACTGCAATGAACTTGGCCTCCACAGTGGAAATACCTCCTACAAGAAGCAACGGTTTGGATGGAAATGTGGTTAAATCAAGAGCCCCAGAGTGGGACCACATGGGTCTGTCAGCTGTGAGACCTAAGGAAGGGGGAGAGTCTGGGTTCTCCCGCGGATGGTCCAAGCACAAGGGAATCGGGTAAAACCAGCCAGGCCTCTCCAGAGTTTGAAGCCAGGTCTGATGCATCGGGTAGGGTAAGAAGGGCTGCTGGTTCCTGTGCCAGCTGGTGCACTGTAGCAATGGTTCCAGCTACGAGCCAAGCATAGTTCACTGCAGGGCCCGTGGTTTAGGGACAAGAGTTGAAGGCCAGCATCTGCCAAACTAACTGCCGGTATCCTCACCTTATTAAAAAAAAAAGCATGGTTTTGGTCAGCATACAGTCATTTTTCTGTAACTGCTCACATGCAAGATAACATCAGTAAAGGCCTGCTACAGCACAGTGATGTTGTAATATTACCATGACATGAAGATAGTAAAGAGCTAGAAGACTCCAGGGAAACACACATTTTTAGACACAAAATGACACACGTAGCACCCAGCATCAGCCACAGGGTCATCAAGGTCTTCCCTTACTGTCATTAATAGGAAGCACGTTACGTTGCATTATAGCCACTGTGATTTTTCGGTGAAGTCAGAGGGTGGATGTTCAATGGAAGAACAGACTTTAGGGCACAAGCTGGATTCCCTGACTTAGATGAGATGCCCCACGGATGCCAGCAGGGATGTTGGTTTTAACAGCGAGGGGGGAAGCAACCCACTGGCACCTGCCTAGGTTAAAGAAAGGAGTACATGTGCATACGTTTAAAGCTATTTGGCAGTGCAGGGGAGAATAGCAGCAAGCACCTCCATAATACACTACTCTTGGACTTGCAGGTGAAGACAATAAAAACAATCCCATTGTGTAGGGTTTTTTTAAAAGAAGTGCAAATCTTGCACAAAGGTCCCATCTTATTTGGTGTTGGCAGACAGTTCCCTTCACTTTCTCCTGTATTTTCACATATCAGATTTTTATTTTATGCTGTAAGCATCATTGTCTAAGGCTGAACAACACATTCAGCCTGGCTCAGTATCAGGCTCAGCTCTTGTCCATTTTAGAGAGTGCACTGTGCTGGAGAAGCTGGTGGTGGTGTGATGCTGAGAGCCTGACAGTGCTGTGAGAGCAAGCCACAGCTTCTCTCCTGCTGGTGACTGACCCCTGTCATAAGATAAATCCCTTGGATGTTTGGTAAGTGAGAAATACTGCGAGACTTGCCCTCATCTTTATTTTTCTTTAAAGTTTTTTGTTCATATTCACAACACTGCTGAAAGAAAATTAAAATCAGAAAATGGGGAAGAGAAAGCGAGGGGGCGAGGAACGCAAAACTGCCCCAATCAGCTCAGCTTGAAATTGCATATAACAAATCTGCCGGTGATATTAAAAAAATAGAATTATTTATACTACGTCAGAATTACATGAGTGTTTCTGCATCAGCACAGAGCCTGCTGAGGAGTGGCTGCAAATGCAATCTTACTCTTGAGGGAATGAGCACGGGATAGCACAAATTTCCATTAAGGACTGCACTGACGCATTTAAATTGCACTGCTATTATGAAAAGGAACAAGCAAAATCAAAACTAAGCTCTCGGTAAACATAAGATCACAAGATTGGTGAGGATTGTTGTTGGACCTGGTCACAAGTTGCCACTAGAAGAGTCTTATGCCAGTGGGAGGAAGGTGATTTGACAGAAGTGAGTATTTTGGAGGAGAGAGTTAATCTGTCACAACTTGCAGCAGCATACAAGCAGGCAGGGCAGGCAGGCTGAGCAGGACAGGCAAGTAAGGCAGGGCAGGGCAGAGAAAGCAAGAGGTGGGGCAAGGCAATCGAGGCAGGGGGAGCAGGAGAGCAGGGAGGGGAGGGCAGGCAGGACAGGTAGAGAAATCCTCTGGATCCCTGACTCCTTTTTGTCAATTTACTCAATTGCCTGCCCATGTCCAACTATTCTGGCTTGCCTCGCTTGCTTTTTTCAAACAGTGCTGCTAAACCAGAGGTTTCTGAGAATGCCTTTGTTCTATGAGAACAGTCTTGAAAGAATGGTGGGAAGATAGCTATGCAGCAAAGCTAGCTGAACTGAAGAGACTGCAGATGCCTATCTTTATTCTCAGTAATTTAAAAAATATAATTTTTTACTCAGTGCACTTATTTTCCTTGCCTCAAGTTATTCAGTGATATTTCCTGTGTGCTAGACTGACCAAGACCCTTACACTTGCCCACTGTCATGACTCTTCCAGAACCAGCTTGGCCTGCTCTCCTGATGGTATCACCCCCCACATGCTGTGTGGCAGATTCCCTGGGCCTCTTTTTACATACAGTGCAAATTGTTTAGAACAGTGAAGATAATTATCTGCTTAGCTAGCTATGGCTACAGTGCATAACCTGCTGTATTTACTGCATGCCAGATTAGGTACCTTCCTAAAAGTTTTGTTATAACCTCACAAGACAGCTCTGTGGTTGGGGAAGTATTTTTGCTTGTACACTGCATGAGGGCTGGGGTTAAATCAGAACAGATTTTCATAATGGTCCCTTTTGATCTCTCAGCACATTAGAGAATGGCTCTCATTAGACGTGTTCAAGAACAGGTTAGACCACCCCCTGCCACTGATGCTATCGACATTGCTGAACTTCAGTCTAGATGATCTCTTCCAGGCCTGTATTTCTATGGCAACTTAAGTGTTTTCATAGCTTTCTGAAGAACAGTTCAATTATTGGTTTGAACACCACGACACAAAGACATACCTGTTGTCTGATTTCACAGCTGAGCTATGTGCCCAGAGCCACAGCAAGTATGTGGCAAGTCTGCAAAGTCAGGGACTCACTGATGAAAGTCTGTTCTGTTTTTCACCAAAAGCATTATATTACTTTATCTGGATACCTCCCTACTTGTGCACTCAATAGTTTGCATGCCCAAGTTGCCTCAGCATACACTCAGAAGTGTGAGACTTTTGCTGGGGACTTGTGAGGAAGCCAGGCCAACAAGTTTCTATTACCCCTTACAGAAGAAAAACATTATGCCTTAAATTTATTACGCAGCTGAAAAAAGAGTATCTGAGTGTCCTTGATGAAGATTGAAGATCCTTGGCTGGATGGTTGCACTGAAAGACCAACAGCTTGATGTCCAAGAGCAGAGCAGAGACAAGTCGAGTTCCTCAGGGGTCGGTGTTGGGACCAGTGCTGTTTAATGTCTTGGTTGGTGACACGGACAGTGGGATCGATGCACCCTCAGCAAGTTCACCAATGACACCGAGCTGTGTGGTGGGTGACACGCTGAGGGCAGGGATGGCATCCAGAGGGACCTGGGCAGGCTGGAGAGGTGGGCCCGGGCAGGTGGTTCAACAAGGCCGAGTGCAAGGTCCTGCCCATGGACCGGGGCAAGCCCAAGCACAAATCCAGGCTGGGTGAGGAGTGGAGTGAGAGCAGCCCCAAGGAGAGGGGCTTGGGGGTGTCGGGGGATGGAAAACAGCCTGTGAGCCAGCACCGTGTGCTCACAGCCCAGAGAACCAACCGTGTGCTGGGCTGCAGCAAGAGCAGTGTGGGCAGCAGGGCCAGGGAGGGGATCCTCCCCCTCTGCTCCGCTCTGGGGAGACCCCCCTGCAGTGCTGGGGCCAGCTCGGGGGCCCCAACAGCAGAAGGACACGGAGCTGCTCGAGTGGGTCCAGAGGAGGCCACAGAGATGCTCAGGGGGCTGGAGCAGCTCCCCTGGGAGGCCAGGCTGAGGGAGTTGGGGGGGTTCAGCCTGGAGAATAGAGTATCCATTGTAAAGATACAGGGCATCAACCATAAAGCACCGCTTTACCATATCAAATGTTGCTTCTGCAGATAAGGCTAAGAGTTGAAAAAAGCAAAAGAAGATTGAAGTTTTAAGGAAATCTGTAGTTCTTGTCTCACTTCTTCCAAGGCTTGTGGCTTGTCAGCCTGCAATCCAAACTAATGTGTACTGTTTTTTGACTAACCCAACCCCACTGGACCCTGGTACCTGTTGAAATGGGCATTAAATGGGCATAAATATCATCCAGGTCCTTACATCTGTTCTGCCTTCCTGTCTGATGATGGATCCCAATGGGTGATCAAAATCCACTATTAGGCTGAAATA